AAAGATTGTTCAAAACGTTGAACAAGAGCTCTTAAATAGAAGAGCTTCAAAGAAGCTCATTAATTGCAAGTTGCCGACTATATCGTCCAGGCCGATATGGACATCGGCCTGGCCGATCAGTACAAATCTCAGAAGATCGGCCAGAGCATTGCCTTGAATACAAACTGGACGATTTAAAATTGGCTTGATCGTTCAGGCCGATCTCACGATCGTCCCGGCTAATCAGTTCAAATCAGAGGAAAATCGCCCAGAGCTTCGCTCTGAATTCGAGCTGGCCGATATTTATTGTCCAGAAGTGACTAAGGCTTTTGAATAGATCGTCCTGGCCGATCCTGCGATCGTCCAGGACGATATGATTGTATCAATCATCCTTAATTACTCCCTTGATTTCTTGATCAATTAAGGCATAATTTGTGAATATCGTCCAGGCCGATCAATAACCGTCCTGGCCGATTATTAAAAAATACATAATAACTTAACTTTCTATGGCGGCAACTTCTTTCTGTTTTGAGCTTATCATCCTGGCCGATACACGTATCGTCTAGAATCTTTCTACCCCCTCTCTACTCAGGCTTCGTTTGATTGAAAGTTTTTTTGTGCTTATTCTGTTTTAAAATGATAAATTCATTTCTTCTTTACTGTTTGATTCTTCAAATCAAGATCCCAATAACTCTATTTGTTTCATATTTCTGCTATTTTGAGAAAACTTTTTATATATATTTCTCGGATAGAAAAACTGTATTTTCTGAATCAATGTTTTTTTAAATTTTTATTTTACAAAATTACCAAAGAACCAAAGGAAACCTCAGTTGGCAGTGGCCGTCAACCCACCAGTATAAATTGATAATCTCTCCTTCTCACGCAACCTCCCACGCCTTCAACCCGCTCGACGAAATTCTCCGTCGACAATGCCTGCTTCAAACACTCCCTTCTCCTCCCTCCTCCCATTAGCCCTCCCCTTTCTTCGTGCCGAACCCCATCTCGTCGACCCAAATCTTCCCCACATGGTCTCCGCCATCACCTCCGTCGGCGCCGGCGAGTGCTGGCACAAAGACAACTGCTTTCTCGGTCACCTGCTCGATGTCTACCGCATCCTCAAGCTCTGGGGAGCCCCCGACCCTGTCGCCCGCTGCGGCCTTTTCCACTCTGTCTACTCCAATTCCTACGTCGACCTCGCCATCTTCGACCCCGCGAACGGTGGCCGCGAGCTCCTGCGATCGATCGCCGGCGACGAGGCGGAGAGACTTGTTCATCTGTTCTGTATTGTGCCGAGGCAGAGTCTTATACACGATGACTTGCTTTTCCAGTATACGGAGTTGGAGTTAGTGGAGCATTTGACGGAATCGGAGGAGTCGGTGCGACGGGCGAGGGACGAAGGGGTTGTGGATGAGAGGGAGCCGTGGCGGAGGAAGATGGTGGCGGTGCTGCCGGAGGGTGGCGTTACAGTGAAGCACATTAATACAGGGGAGGATGTGGCGTTGTCTCGGCGGATGGTGGCGACGTTTCTGCTCATGACAATGGCGGATTTCTGTGATCAGCTTTATGCATTCCAGGCATGGCGTAATCGATGCTATATTAGTAAAAAAAAATTATTATGTCAGGCTTTCAGAGCATAAAATTTTTGACCACGAGTTCATCTTGCAGGACGAGCTATTCGACAACACCGATGGTCAAATGAACTTCTCCGGCAACACATTCACCGCACTCTGGCCCGGCGACGGCCGACCCGGTCTATGGATGAACTCCCTCTCCCGAATGGCCGCCCTCTACAACCTCATTCTCCGCGAAGAAAGTCTCTACTTACAATCACGAAAAGCATCGATCCCGATCCAATCCGAGCGGGACGAAGCGTTAGAACTAATCGTCCCGCCAGTCTTTTCCAACTGCACCAAAATCTTAGGAAGGGAATCCCAACTCCTGGCGAGAGATCTCTACTGGAAGGCAATGGCGGGGCCTGCGAACAAGGATATGGCTGCGGCGGAGAGTCTATTGAAGGAGTGCTGTAAAGAGAATGGTTACGTTGCGGAGCCGCATTTGGTGCTCGGGCAAGTTTACATGGCGGTGGAAAGGTATGAGGAGGCGGAGAGGGAGGCGGAGGAAGGGCTAAGGCTGCTGTTGGAGTGGGGGAGCCCGTGGGATAAGAGGATGAGTTGGGAGGGTTGGGTGGCTTGGGGAAGGCTTTTACTGCAGAAGGCTAAGGCAAGGTCGTGGCCTAAGACTTCCTTTGGGATCATCAGTCTCGGTCTAGTAAGGTGAGGAAAAAGGAGAATATATATATATATTTAAATTTTAAATTTATATTGAGATTAATACTTAATAGTATATATAATATCTATAATTATATTAATCTTAATATAAATTTGAATAATTTTTTTTTAAAGTCTATTATGATATGTTTTATATCAAAATAATTGGGAATATTTTTTATCAGAGAAAATTCAAAACATAAATATATATGAAAACAAATTATATTAAAATATTTTAATAAAGATCGTGGCCTAACACATCCTTTGAGATCATTAGTCTCGGTCTACTATGGTGACGAAAAAGCAGGAAATAAATAAATAAATAAATATATATATTCTGATTCAAAACATATTAAAATTTGTTTGAAAATTCTTAAATTTATATTGAGATTAATATTATATATAATATCTATAATTATACTAATCTTAATATAAAATTGAATAAAAGTTTTGAAGTTTATTTTGATATGTTTTATGTCAAAATAATTGGGAATAATTTTTATCAGAGAAATTTTAATACATAAATATATATGAAAAAAATTATATTGAAATATTTTAATAAATTTATGATCAAATATGATTTATAATTATTACATTTATTTTAAATAAGTTTAATATTAATTTATGCTTGAAAAAATAAAGATTTTGATATATATCAAATAAATGACGAGGAGCACTTTCTTAATAGTTCTGTATAATTAATTAATTCCTTCTATGATTTTCTGCCCAATATGAAAATGTATGTGGAAGTGAATTTTTTACCTATAATTTGTCCTGAGAACTGAGCACGGATGTAGAAACCGAAGCATAATGAAATTGCTTCTATTGGGCTGAAAAACTTGGCCCAAAATGAGTTTTAGTGACCGGATCTGTATTAATTCTATTGGGCATATTGGGTTTTTTATATGAAATTATGATATTAGACACACATTCTAACTTTGTTATTTTGTTAGCACTTAACAATTGTTGTAGGGAATTTTTCTCATGATATTATAAGAGAAAAATTGTGAAGTATTATTTGGGAGAAATTACTTTTGAGGGAAAAGAATTAACTTAGGCTTCGTTTGGGACGGCTTTCTTCCTGCTTCTTAAAGTAGCTTTTCAGTACAAAAATTAAATTTTTTGTACTAGAAAGCTGCTCTCAGAAGCAGTAAGAAAGTCGTCCTAAACGAAGCCTTATTCTCACTATAAGTTTCAAGAATCTCCATCCCTGACTAAAGTAATCCTTTTAGTTTATGTTGTTTCTAATTTTTCCATATGATGGAGTGTCTGACTTCTACGAACAAATTTATCGCTATGGGGTCATCATGCACATTCATCATGCTTTTGATGCAATCATTTTTCAATGTCTTCCAGGTAATTCTTAAGGGATAAGTTCACACATTATTATACTCTCTTTATGATAGAACTATTCATATTTTTTGCAACTATAGTAAGACTTTTATTAAAAAAATTATGGTCAATTAAATAATCAACAAGTCTCCTCCCATCTTTCTGGAATTTATCGAAATAAGGGAAAGATCTTTAAGCAATATTTTTAAAGATTCTTTTATGAAGTGCTTCAATTTTTTAGAGTGGATACGGAGTTATTACAAGGTTCTCATTCATGCAAGAAACAATCTGCTTTTATGCTGATTTTATTCCACGAGTTCCTTATAAATAAGAATTAATGAACCCATAAATGCTATTTTAAAGTAATTAAAACAATCCTAAAAAAAACATAAGAATTCATCATAAGAAATTGATACTCCTCCCAAACAAAAAAACAAAATAGTTGTCAAGAGATTAAAGATGCTATTATCACTAAATCTAAGTCATTCTAAATCATCCAATTACACCCCATTATTTCATCCAAGATTGACACTCTATTGGAGATCTAAATTTTTTAACACATCAAGTGGGCAAAATCTCTACAAAATTCAAATGAAGAAGCGAGTCTCAATATTGTTACTTCCATAGTTAAAAGAAAAAAAAAACATTTAAAAATTATTATCAATAGATACAATAAATTGAATGCATGATTCACTAGAGACATATGGGCCATTATTTATAAAAATAACTTAAAGATCATAAATCTTAAAATAGAGGTCATAAGATTGTTAACAAAGAAATAATTAGAATTTATTAATAGGATTGTCATTACATTGAAAAATTATCATTAAAATAACTCTTAGAAGTTGAACTCAAAATTTTTAAAAGAATTTATAACTCCCCATTATTTCATCCAAGATTGACACTCTATTGGAGATCTAAATTTTTGAACACATCAAGTGGGCAAAATCTCTACAAAATTCAAATGAAGAAGTGAGTCTCAATATTGTTACTTCCATAGTTAAAAGAAAAAAAAAACATTTTAAAAATTATTATCAATCGATACAATAAATTAAATGTATGATTCACTAGAGACATATGGGCCATTATTTATAAAAATAACTTATCGATCATAAACCTTAAAATAGAGGAGGTCATAAGATTGTTAACAAAGAAATAATTAGAATTTATTAGTAGGATTGTCATTACATTGAAATTATCATTAAAATAACTCCCAGAAGTTGAACTCAAAATTTTTAAAAGAATTTATAACTTAATTCTATTGGAGATAAAAGGTGTACCTTTTAATGAAGTAAGCTTTAACTTAAATTCTTAATTAAACTCTCTTTTTATAAATAATATGGCATTTAGCAAAAACTCTTAGAACTCACGTGAGATAACTTCGATGAAACGGTAGCCGTGGAGATAATCGTCACTTGAAAGATCTCATAATAGCAAGTAGAATATATGCATATGAGATAGCCTAAATGTGAAGCTAATAGTAGATAGTGTATTCACCATAAAGATTCTATGAGAATAGAAGCATCATAAGATACAAATCAATATTCAAAAGTCTCAAAAGGCATAATCCTGAAAACGTACAAATATACTAAAAATCTCGTAACTCGTAAGTCTCAGAAGGTAAATGTACACATACAATCCCAAAAGGCATAAGCTTCAGATGATATATAGGATCATCTTAAAATCTTATAAGGTACAAGTACATAAAAAATTTAGAAGACTAAAAAATCATAAAATATATATTTATTTGATTTTTTTTAATTCAAAAAGGCTATAGTCTCAAAAGGTGGGGAGAGGGGTATTATCTTCTAATAAAATTTGAAGATTTCAAATAACTTCTTAATGTTACATAACTTATTACCAGTATTTGAGTTTGCTTACCCGTAAGGTCGGGTGTCTTCTTCAAACAAATTTGAATCCAATTGTTAAATTGTAATTATTTATTGGACTTGCTTAGATCATTGGAGTTCTAATGTCTACTTAGTAGTGATAAGTTGTTAGGATACCTAACTTGTAAGTGCTTTAGTAGATTTTCTATGCCGCATAGTGATATTAGATGTCCCCATCTCCGGTTCAAAAGAAGAGATTATTATGTTCGGAGACGGGACGCAGAACGTCGTTTAGAGACCAATCAGAATGTGCCATGTCAGCAATACCGAACAAGGGGTAACATGGCACATTCAAGTTAGTCTCTGGACAACATTCGGTATCCGCACATAAAAATTAATAGTTCATTCAAAAGAGAAGATACACAATTGTAGCCAACAAGTAGATTTAATTAAAGATACGAAGACATTCATAACACCTATGAGTGCCAACTAATTTAATTATTAAAAGTAATTTCATCTTCTAGGATCAAATCAGTTTTAAAATAAATGTGTTTTAGCATTATTATTTTTTATCACAACACTAATTAAATGGGAGGAACATTCTAATAGACTAACTTAAAAAAAAGTCTCTCTATAATTTATTTATAAAATATATAAATCTAACTAATAGCTCTTCTCCATTTATTCTGAATCGGTCAGTAGGCAACAAGGTATAGGACATGAAGACTTTGGAATAAAATACTGATAAAATATGGGGAAGGGTCGTCATTTAAAATTAAGTTAATAAAAAAGTCGTGATAAAAAATAAGAATGATTAAAAATATAATTATAGATTGCGATTTTAAAGAAAACGAAATTTTTTATTTCTTTGAAAAAGCAAAAAAAAAAAAAAATTGCGTTTTCAAAGTAAACGCAGTAATTAATTAAAACATATGTCAGGAGTCACTAGTCAACAATTAGAGGTTTTATTTTTGGGTTAGATCTGCAAAGGAAATATTTTAATAATACATCAAATTGAAAATTAATTATATCAACATGATATTAATAATAATAATTGTTGCGTCTTGAAATATTCGCGGCAGTAGATAAATATATAATTTTAATGTCTTAGAGTTATACGAAGATCCAACACACAACTATATAAGAGAGAGGGTGTAACATTCATAAGAGACACCAGAATTTTTACATGAAAACCCCAGAAAATGGGGGAAAAACCATGGGCATGGCTAGGGGTGTCATTTCGGGTAACGGGTCGGGTTCGGGTCGAACCCGAACTGACCCGGGTGCGAAACGGGTCGACCCTAACCCGACCTGGGTAGAGAAACGGGTCGAAAAATCGAACCCGGACCCGACCCCGGCGGGTTGCCGGGTTGACACGACCCGACCCGATTTGGGTGGCCGGCGCCGGAACGGCGGCGGACGACGGCGGAGGACGCGAGTCGGGTTTTCGTGTCGTGTCAAATATTGACACCCCTAGGCATGGCCCAGTTTGAATGAATCCACTAGTATTTGCAGTTGATTACAAATGAGGCCCTTCTTAGGGAGAATGCCTTGCTTGATGCCAGAAATGTACATCATATAGAGCGCATTACATGGTGGTAGTTACAATAATCAGCATAGAAATGTTTATTTGGTCGGCAGGACCATAGTTGATATGATAGAGGTCGGAAAGACCGTAGTAGGTGATGGAGGTTGAAAGGACCATAGTCGGCATGAGATAGGGGTCTGAAAGACTGTTGTCTAGTGATGGAGGTCGGAAGGACCACAGTCGGTAGGAGACAGGGGATCGAAAGACCATAGTAGAAGGGTGGTATCTCAGGTAGAACTCTAGGCGTTAGGTGGTGATCCG